TATGATTATGTCTACAATTTAAAAGACTGATCATAGCATGTGTTGGTGAGGATGTAGAGGAACTGGTGTTCTCACCCTGCTTGTGGAAATGTTAAATGGTATACTTTGGAAAAAACAGTTTGGCAGTTTTTTCTGAAGTTAAACATATACTTTTTTTTTTTTTTTTTTTTTTTTTGAGACAGAGAGTCTTTCTCTGTGCCTAGGCTGGAGTGCAGTGGCACGATTTCTTGGCTTACTGCAACCTCCGGCATCTGGGTTCACGTGATTCTCATGCCTCAGCTTCCCGAGTGGCTGGGACTACAGGTGCGTGCCACCCTGTCCTGCTGATTTTTGTATTATTATTTTTTTTTTTAGTAGAGACGGGGTTTCACCATGTTGACCAGGATGGTCTCGATCTCTTGACCTTGTGATCCACCCGCCTCGGCCTCCCAAAGTGCTGGGATTACAGGCTTGAGCCACCGCGCCCGGCCTTGATTTTTGTATTTTTAGTAGAACCGGGGTTTTGCTGTGCTGGCCAATCTGGTCTCAAACTCCTGGCTTCAAGCAATCTGCTCACCTCCGTCCTGCCAAAGTGCTGGGATTACAAGCGTGAGTTACTGCGCCCAGCCTTGAAGTTAAACATGTACTTATCATATGACCCAGCAACTCCACTCCCAGGAGAAATAAAAGTGCATATCCTTACAAAGACTTATGCCAAATGTTCACAGCAGCTTTATTGATAGCAACAACCACAACAAAACCAGAAACAACTCAAATATCCATCTACAGGCAAATGGATAAATGGTCTGTGGTATATGCATACAATGGAATACTATTGAGAATAAAAAGGAATAAACTGTTGAAACATGCAAAACATGGGTAAGTCTCAGAATAATTATGCTGACTGGAAGAATCCAGACCAAAAAAGAGTACATATTATATGGCTTCATTAATTATACAATTCTAGGAAATGCAAACTAATCTACAGAGACAGAAAGCAGATCAGCAGTTGCTTAGAATGGAGAATGTAGGTAGGGGCACCAGAGGAATTGCAACGTGATTTCTTTAAAGGATGTTTACTATCTTGATTGTGGTGATGGTTTCTCGAGTATACATATACATCAAAACTTATAAAGTTGTATACATTAAATGTATGGTTTACTGTATGTAAATTATACATCAACAAACATGTTAAAAATGGAAAATAAATCAGAATGCTGTTAGGATGGTGCTGCTAGACAAAACTGTACAGATATTCCTCTTAGAAGCCAAGAAATCTGCTTCTCTCCAGCATCTACGGCCTTGAACTGCACTTTCACTAGAGTGCCTTCAGCTTGGGGCAAAAAATATGTTGCTCTGAGTGTGGGGAAAGATTTACTTCCTCCTGTGGCCTATATATGTGCAGAAAGGCAGAAATAGAGTTCACAGTCATAGTCCTCAAATGAAGAAAGAGCAAAGGAGTAATAGGGTCACAGCTGGGACAGGTCCCAAGAATAAACAGGCAAGAGCTTACATAGGCAGATAGGCATCCTTCTGTCTATAACATGCTTAGAATAGGCGCAGTGGTGGTAGGGCAGAGGGGCGTGCGCTTCTCTGTATAACATGCCCTTTCACTTCCGTGTATCAGAAGACTTTTTACAATCAAGGTCTTTTTCAGAGAGAACAAAATGAAACTTTCTGGTAGCATTCATAAAGACATAAAAGGAATGGGTTGTGTGGCTCATCAAGATCCACTGAGGCTGGGCGTGGTGGCTAATGCCTGTAATCTTAGCACTTTGTGAGGTCGAGGTGGGCAGATCACTTGAGGGCAGGAGTTCGAGATCAGCCTGGCCAACATGGTGAAACCCTGTCTCTACTGAAAAAACAAAAATTAGCAGGGCGTGGTGGCAGGTGCCTGTAATCCCAGCTACTCGGGAGGCTGAGGCAGGAGAATCACTTGAACCTGGGTGGTGGAGGTTGCAGTGAGTCAAGATGGCACCACTGCACTCCAGGCTGTACAACAGAGTGAGACTCCATCTGAAAGAAAACCAAAACCAAAACAACAACAACAGACAATCCATTGAGATAGTGGGTTTGTCTGTGAGAAGCAAGAGCCATCTTCCCTTCCACTTTTCATTACCACGTACTGTGATTGTTGGTATGGTGGATGCTCAGTGTGTGTAGACAGCAAAAAAGAGAGAGGCACTACACAGAGTGGTTAGAAACAGATAAGAGAAACTACGAGAGGTAAACAGAATCAGGTCTCCAGTTTTTTTTTTTTTTTTTTTTCAAGTTAGAAAAGGGCTTAGCATCTGGACACAACAAAGAAGTATTGGAAATTCAGTGGTCAAAGATGCTTCATGTAATGACTCTGATTTTTTTTTTTTCAGGCAAGAATCTGGTAACATGATAATAATCAGCAGGGAGAGGTGTAAAAGAAACGTATGAAAATAATATTATATCACTGGGCTCCTTTGTCAGTGGGTCAGGTTATTACCTCAAAGGGCAGTATAACTAATTACTGATGTGTAGAATTTTGCCTTTAAAAAATGCTTGAGAGCAAAATCACCTGAGCTATTCATAACACATTAGCGTCCATGTCCTTTAGATCACCAGAAACACACAAAAAATAAGAAAGCATCACCTGAATTTTGTTACTGATAGGACACACAAATCAAAATAGCATATAAGACAATTCATATTTAAGTCAAAAGTTTTTTTTGGCTTGACTCTATGAATTTATGAAATTGTGTAAAGGCAAGGAAAAGGCATTTAAAAAATGTCTCTGGGATGGGTGAGGTGGCTTACACTTGTAGGTGGATTGCTTGAGCCCAGGAGTTTGAGACCAGACTGGGCAACATGGGGAAAAACTCTCTCTATTAAAAATACAAAAATATTTAGCTGGGTGTGGTGGCGTGCACCTGTAGTCCCAGCTACTTGGGAGGCTGAGGTGACAGGATGGCTTGGGAGGTAGAGGCTGCAGTGAGCTGAGATTGCGCCACTGTACTCCAGCCTGGGTGACGATAAAGTGAGACCCTGTCTGGAAAAAAGACACATGTCTCTGAGTTGGTTTCAAGGAGTTGCATAAATGAATACCTGGGAAATGCTTTGGAGTACTGTAGAGTATATATGGGAGGGTATTTTAAATTTTCACAAAGTTTGAGAGGTCAACAATAATAATAATAGCATTTTCAGTTCATGGAAGATTGGTAATTTCTATTCACCAAAATAGTATGTATTTAATTATAGATTAAAATATCAGAGTGCATGGAAATAGTATTAAAACTGGTAATCTTTTTAAGATTACACAAGTTTTGAAGGGCAAAATATATGATGGATTACTCTGGCCATTCAGCATCTGAAGCCTCTACTTTAGGAGAATTCCCTACATTTATAATCTAGGTGGCAGAGGCATAAAAATCCCAGATGCCTGCTTTCCCTTGCTTGGTAGTTAGTGTGCAGGCATATAACCTGATTTCACCATTCGGATCTAGCTGCACCAGATTTTCACCTGGAAGCTAGTAAAGAAAAACAAAACAAATGATAGTATCTACAAAGCAAAAACAGTAACTAAACCTAGGAATGATGGAGCTCTCTCTCACTTTGGATGAGCCACCTGTAGTGGTTGTTGGAAATAAAGTTCCAGGTAAAGCACTTGTAGCCATGCTGTCGGGATGGCAGCTGTGAGTTCTGATTCCCTGCGGAGAGCCACTCAATCTTTTAAATTATCTAATTAAAAAAAAAAAAGCTAATGACTATTCATTATAGAAAATCTGTAGAATATACAAAATCTGTAGAATATGTATGTATGTGTGTATATACACACACATAGGTTTTCTTTTTAAAATTGGGATCATACCCTAGTTTTATGTTTTAATCCAGTTTTTGATATTTTCTATGCTTTTCTTTGACCATGCAATTCTAAATAACTACATCATTTAACTGTTCTTCTATTGAATATTTAGACCCTTGAATATTTTGCTGTCAGAAGTTTCAAAGAATACTCTTGTAAATAAACTTTACTATACCTCTAATTGTTGCTTTAGGATAAATTCTTAGATGGCAGATTACTAAAACTCAGTGAAATCTGAGTCTTTTAAAGTCTCTTCATATGGTTATAAAATTGTTCTCCAGAGATAGCTGACCCACTCTTGAACCACCAATGGGTTTTGAATATAAAGCATTGGCACTGAACTTTAATAAAATTGCATTGTAAGACATGAAAATATTTTTAAAACTAATGACTATAGTAGCTGTTATGAGAGCTTACTACTTGCCTGACATGGCTATGTTCTTTAAAGACATCATCACATTGATTGATTGAGTCAGGGTCTCACTCTGTCACCCAGACTAGAGTGCAATGGTATGATCATGGCTCACTGCAGCCTCAATCTCCCAGGCTTAAGCAATTCTCCTGAGTAGATGGGACTATAGGTATGCATCACCACACCTGGCTAATTTATTTTTATTTCTAGTGGAAATGGGATCTGGACACATTGTCCAGGCTGATCTCAAACTCCTGAGCTCAAGCAATCCTCCCGCCTTGGCCTCCCAGAGTGCTGGGATTACAAGTATGAGCCACTGCACCTGGCCGACAGTACCACACTGAATCCTCACACTGATACTTTTTACTGGTACTTTCTTTTTTTTTTTTGGGACGGAGTTTCGCTCTTGTTACCCAGGCTGGAGTGCAATGGCGCGATCTAGGCTCACCGCAACCTCCGCCTCCTGGGTTCAGGCAATTCTCCTGCCTCAGCCTCCTGAGTAGCTGGGATTACAGGCACGCGCCACCATGCCCAGCTAATGTTTTGTATTTTTAGTAGAGACGGGGTTTCACCGTGTTGACCAGGATGGTCTCGATCTCTTGACCTCGTGATCCACCCGCCTCGGCCTCCCACAGTGCTGGGATTACAGGCTTGAGCCACCGCGCCCGGCCCTTACTGGTACTTTCAACCTCATCAATAAAATGGGGTGATATGGCCAAATATTTTGCTGAAGGTCACATAACTCATGAAATGTGGACCGAGGAATCAAGCATTGTCTTTTTTTTTTGACTTCAAAGTTCATTTTATTTCCTCTAAACCATTGTAACCCAAGAACTTAAATCCTTTTATCAGTTTTAAAGTGAGTACTTGGGAGGAAGGAAGTATAAGTGAGTTGGAAGTAGTAGAGGGCAGATGGAGAAAGAGTTAAAAAGCATAGTAAGTCTTGGTTAAAAGAATTTACGAACAGACAAAACAGTGTTAGCAGGGTGTTTCAACCAATGAGTATTTATTCAAAGCCAGAGGTGCACCAGGCACAGCTGTCTACTAGGCTAACAGATACAAACGATGTAACCAATTCACTTATTAGCTTATCTGATTAAATAAAATACATTTCATAGAAATGATTATCAAATGCATTGCAGATAGAAACAGAATATTCTTTATACTTACAGATCTTATAATACCCTAAACAATTATTAATAAAAACCAGCCAACCCATATGGTAAATAGTTAGCAAACCACCAGTTATTTTATTTTAGTCAGCAAAGGAGAAAAACATACAAATTACATGCTGAAATGGATTTTAGCATTACTGAATGCTGAATACAGACATCCTGTTTCAAAACTACTAACATAGTCCACTTACAATCTTAAAAATTCAGTGTTTTTCATCCTGCATTAAATCACTATGATACCTTTTGGCTTAAAAATTAGGTTTGGTTTCAAAAATAAGTTTAATTTAGTACTTCAGTCACATGCCTCACAGATTCTTGAACAGGACTGGGTAAGAATCAGTCCAATTAACTATTAGTTACAGCAAGAAAGCAAAACATAAACGGAATGTTTAGTCCACCTTGCTTGATATTCTTGCCAAAATTGAATTGAGAAATTAAGATACACAGGTGATTTAAACCAGAACATAACAACAGAACTGAAAAAAAAAAAAAAAAAAAAAAAAAAGACAAAATGTAGATGTTACTAGTTTGAAGCCAAGCTGTCCATTTAGGGCCATTTATTGCCTTTTTGAGACTCATGACTAATTCCTGAAAAGACCACATTGAGTTTGCGGATATATGATGTATCCTTTAGTTTGAAGGTTGTTAAGAGGGGTGTAAGGGTGAGGCAGAAGGGTGGGAAGGACTAAAAAGGCACAGGGTGGAGTGTTTGCTGATGCCATCATGGTAATTATCCAAGAGTGTCCACTGGGGGCCCTTCCTGAGGCCTCCAGAGATGGATCTGTTTTCTTCAGGCAGCAGCAGCAGCAAAAACTTCCTCAGAGAGGCAAGGTCAACTTTTATTGCACAAGAACCATAATTATTTCCCTCCCCTGTTTTCTGAGCTGGAGACCTCCACATGCAATGTCTGGATTCTCATCCATTTGCGCGTCTGACCAGCAGAGTGCGCTCAAACAAAATGCCTCGGGATGCACCTTCTTCAAAGGGAAACATGAGGTATTCCGATGGCTCAAGCAACCTGGTCAGTCAGTCACCATTCTCAAGCAGCTTCTGTAAGTTGTTCTGTATCTTGATATAAAAGAAAAGAAGCTCCTATTACTAAATAGAATGGAGTATATTAAGGGCATATTTGCTATAGTCTATATAGTGTTCTAGATTATTTCACCTACACAAGGGTTAAATTTAGATGAGGCAAATAGATGCTTTTTCATAAACTAGAACTCTGTTTGAAAATCCACTTTTTCTTTGAGACAGGGTCTCGCTCTGTCACCCAGGCTGGAGTGCAGTGACATGATCATGGCTCACTTCAGGCCTGACTTCCTAAGCTCAAATAATCCTCCCACCTCAGCCTCCCAAGTAGCTGGGACTTCAGTTGTACACCATCATGTCTGGTTAATTTTTGCACTTTTTATATAGACAAAGTTTCATCATGTTTCTCATGCTGATCTAGAACTCCTGGGCTTAAGTGATCCTCCTGCCTCAGCCTCCCAAAGTGTTGGATTTACAGGTGTGAGCTGACAATCCAATTTAAAATGAGAAAACAGAGGGCTTAAAAGAATGGTGGAAAGATGAAAATGTCAGTAGAGACTGAGATAAATGAGATGGAAGAAAAAGCACAAGGAACTGGCAACACCAGTGTGACCCAAATGCATTAGAAGACAATGGGAAATTGGTCTTTACAGAGCCCATTTGATGGTTTTAATCAGACAAATGCACATAATCATATTGAACACTCCTGTTATTTCAATTACATATTATTCTTTAACATTTCCAAAAGGTTGTGGATTTCACAGGGACAGAGACCAATCATGTCAGATGTTTGGATCTTAAGATGGGTCCAATGCTAGACATCAAAAGTGTTCTCAGTAAATGACTATTGAATAAAGGCACTTTTAAGAATTCAGAGCAAGGAATTCTCAACAACCAGCTCTGTGATGGGATCAAAAGAAAGAACATGTTATTTTGTAGGGGAACAGTCTGTGATGTCCTATGGGTGTTCTCAGGTGAGTGAGGAGGAAGGGGATCTGATATGTAAGTGCCAGGAACGGCATGCCTGCCCCTGAGCCACACAACACCACACAGAGACAGGCTTTGCGCCTGAAACTGAGGGTCAAAGAGCCGAAGTAGCGGATGAATTCTGTGGGTGGTAAGCGGTAGAACATGGATAAGAACAATGGTCTGACTCCAAAATTTATGCCCTCTCTGCTCTACTGTTCCACCATTAATTCCACTTCCAGAACTAAGAAAAATAAGTGTTTATTTCAGTTCCCATAAAAGGCATTGCCTTCTTCCCCCACTTTCCTGCTTTGTTTCTTCCTCACCTATCCCTTAAGACCAAGGATAAATGGACAAACAGGAGTGGGAGGTAGAAAAAGGAATAAAAAAGAACCGACATCCAAAATGACACACATACAGAAAACCCAAAAGTCAAACAAAGGAGGGAACTCAGCAATGTATAGAGGAAAACTCAAATGGCCAATAAATATATGAGATGTTCAGCCTCAGTCATAATTAGGAAAATACAAGTAAAAATGGTAATAAGATCCAACTTTACACTATCTGACTGGTGGTGGGAGGCCTGAGTGGATTAGGGTGGTGCCCGTGGGAAGAAACTTTGAGGAGACATTTGAAGACACAGTTCACAGCATTTGCCAACTAGTCAATCAGTGGCAGGTGAAAAGAAGGAGTTAAATATTTTTCTTAGATTTCCAGCGAGGATGACAGAAAGAACAGTGATGCCATGAACAGAAATAGGGAAGTTACAAGCAGAGAAAGATCATGAGGCTTAGACATCACCGGCCCCTGAAGACGAGAAGCAATTGCTGGTATGGAAGATAAAGGGCTGAGCTCTGTCTCAGACCTCCACAGCCTGGAGCTGCTATTTACAGGCAGGCTGTGCTGTGCTAGCTCCCAACTGCCTCGGAGGAAAAGTGCAGACAAATCAAAAAGAGCACGGGTGTGGCCTGGTACCTCCTTTTTAATACTTAGATTCTTTTGAGCAATGTGTGCAACTTATAACTCTTTAGAACATCAACATGTGCATTTTGACCCGAAATCCACTTTTTACCGAATCAGTTTCTCCTTTGAGACAAAGGTGGTTTTCACTGGTGCTCCCGTAAGCCTCCCTGGTCTCCCTGCTAGGTTGTCTGAACCCTGCACAAGACCTGCAGCTGTTGGCCTGCTGTGAACAAGCCCTTCTGTTTTCAGTTCCCTGATTACAGAATGTGGTGTCCTGGCCAGGCCTGGCGGGAGAGTGGGAAGAAACACCAAAGAAGGCAGCAGGATCCCGTGTGTTTCTGATCCAAAGAATATCACTGGTATGTCAGAGTGAACAAAGTTGAAAATACCATTCCATTCTCTGGGTTGCATGAAAGTCAAACATTTGTAAGCATTTCATTACAAAAAAAAATTGTCTTCAATTCTCAGAACCTAATGTTTTAGAAAGGAAAAAAAGCTAACCCATAGCTTCTCTAGGTTGATTTTGGATGTAAAGAACTTTCCACACAGAATGATTCAATGTGAATTCTCTGACCTGACTTGGCTTAAAACATGTTTGGAAACGCCTTTGCTCTCAATACTTTAGCTGTTAAATACTAGATAACCTATAGTGTAGAAAAACAAAGATAATTGTATTCATTTGTATTTAATAGGAAATTTTACTAATTTGTATTTAATATGAAGAAATATGTCTTCCCAAGTAAGCATAACTACTATTATGTAAAGCTACCAAGTACTGGGGGTGAAAGCAGTTCTAATTGAACACTGGATTCTTCACTTTAAACCTTTCCTGAAGGATTAGGGTAAGAACACAGTAGTTAATCGGATAAAGGAGATGAAAATAAGACATGTAAATCAGACTAAACTTCTGGGAGATTTTTGGCATGACTATTTTCTTCTCCAGCTCACCCTCCTGCTCCCTTGTAAGAACGCCACAAGCTAAGGACAGATTTGCCCTAGTTGTTTGGACTGTAGATGCTTCCAGGAAAAGGTACATCTGTGGCCTTATCCACAAGGCCTACGGCTGAATTCTGAGGAACAGTAAAGCAGAGAGCTTATAAGCAAAATTTTGCAGCCAGACAGCCCTGGTTTAGGTTCTAGATCTGCTGACTTTATTTATAGTTATATATTTTTATAAATATATTTTAAAAGTTACATAATTTATTTATATTTATATATTTTTCTTTTAATCCTCTCTCAGCAGAATCATATCTGCTGCGTTTCTAGGTGTGTCGCCTTGAGCAAGCTAATTTGAAACTTTGATTCTTCCCCTATTAGATAGAAAACAATGCCACCTATCTCCCATGGTTCTGACAGGGCTTACACGCAGTATTTTATATGGGAACAATCAGCCTGGGTGGAGTTGGGGCTGCACTTTCTGGCCAAGTCAGTGGTTGGTCTCCAGTTCGCTCCCTACCATGTCCCTACACTGAGCTCCGATGTCAGTGGTCACTTACCATTGGGCCCTGTGCTATAAAGTTAATAGCTATAAAGCTAATCAAGGAGGAAAAACAAAAAGCCCACAAGATGATGTACTTCAAGGAAAATGAGATTAAAACCTATTTATTTGTGGAAATAAAAAACATTCTTCCACATTTACTATGAAAACTCCTTGGCCAGGTTTGATCCTGTAGGTTTATTGTGGCACACTAATGGCATTTGAGTGTGTAATCCTTGACCTGACAAGGTCAAGGCAGTCAATGGGCACTACCGTGACTGCCCCCATACACAGGAAAGAAATAGGTCACCTTTTCTAATTTCACTATGTTAGCTGTAAGCTCTTGACAGAGAACCTCCACATTGAATTGTACTTGTGACCTCAGGCCGGATGGTGCTGTCTGTCTGTAAGAAAAAAGAGAAAAATTACTATGGGCAGGGATGACAAGGAAAGAAGTGGAATGAACACATTTAAAATTTATTTGAACAGAAAATTGGTTTATAATAGAAGAGAGTGAACATTTCATTTATTAATATTAGACAAAGCCCCGTAGTAATCTGCAACTCCAGGCTAGATGTATAGGGAACTAATTCGTAAAAGCTCATCTAGAAATCTCTTAAGCTATTTTTGTTTAAGTGGATATGGTGTGTTTCGGCTTCCAAACAAAAATCAGGCAATTGTTTCAAGCACGTGGTTTCTTAGAACCCTTTATTAACCCCTATTATCCTCTCTATCTCCACCAGAGCATAAACTTACAAGAATCATTGTGCTTTTCAGCTATTTATACTAGAACTTTAAAAGCTTAGGAATGTCTTTATCTAGTTAATCAAATGCCCATTGAAATGTGACACTTTTGTAGTTCCTTCTTTGAGACTTATCATACAACTATAATTGCCCTTGTCTTATAATCTGACAGATGTAATCAATGTTTACTATCTGAATATTTATGGCATAGGCTCTTACTCTGGGGTCCACTGAAATCCTAAACCGACTAACACTGGAAAATCTGGAGCTGTACATACATTTTCTGGAAAGATGGTCTAAAGCTCTTTTTCAGATTTTTGTGTTAAGGTTAAGAACCATGGCCTGTATCGTTTCTATATTTCTTGTCTGTGATTTGATTATATATATATATAGGCATGTGTATATCTTTACATATACATATGTAAAGATACGGTATCATTCTGTTGCCTAGGCTGGAGGAGTGCAATGGCACAATCATGGTTCACTGCAGCCTCACACTCCTGGGCAAAAAGGATCTCCCACCTCAGCCTCCCAAGTAGCTAGGGCTACACAGGTATGCATCACTACGGCTGGCAATCATCTTACTCAGTATTATGGGTGTCCACAATGGAGGTTAGCAGCCCCAACCGCTCCTCCAGAGTATTAATTCTATATCTCATGTAGAAGGTCGAGATGATGAGTGCGCAGACACTGGAAAGGGATGAAAGAGAAATTTTCATTAGGTTAATGGCCAGGATCTGATGTTCATTAAAACAACTCAGGGCCAATGTGGTATACTCGAGGCAAGCCATTTTCCAAAATAACCTGGTAAAGAGGCTTTAAAAACGTCCTTTTCAAACCGGCTGATGCTTGTCATAAAACTTACAGCTAGAAGAGACTTAAAATCCTCTAGCTCAAGTCCCTCAATTTGCAAATAATGGCCATTCTAATAGCATTGGTCAGAGCCAGATCTAAGTTGGAGTACCAAGCCAGTGTATTGCTGACCTCTGCTAGAAGAGCCTGGGCAGACAGTCCCCAGCCGTGTTCTCCGGTGACTCCCTGCTTTATCTGGAAACTAGACTGGGCATGTCTTCCTTGGTTGTGAGGAACAGCCTAGAACTGGGTCAGGCTATTTGCAGAAGAACAATTGGTTACAAATGAGAAGTTAAAAAAGTCAATGCCTACATTTTTGGTAAAGGGGATGAAAAAACATTTTCAAGTTGTGTTGGCCCCTATTTAGGGGACATGGGACAGATGGTAAAACAAAATTATAGCTACGTAGAAGGAATAGGTTCTAGTGTTGAATGCCACTGTGGAATGACTAAGTCAACAATGCTAGAGTTTCAAATAGCTAGAAGGATACTGAATGTTCTCAACATGAAGAAATGATAAAGGTGATGGATATGCTAATTACCTGGATCTGATCGGTATATATTATGTGTATCAAAACATCACTATGTACTCCATAAATAGGTACAACGATTATATGTCAACTAAAAAAATAAAATAAAAAAATCACAAGGGTAAAGATGCTTCATAATTCACAGAGGAATCTCCCAACTAATGGTACCTACTCAGAACTTAGTCCTCTGCTGGGTTTGGCACAACCATGAAAATGTGACCTAAGCCTAAGGAAAAAATGCTGCAGTAGGAGACAGAAATTGTCAAAGAAAAGATGTGGGTTACATTTCAGACAACTGAGATTTACAGTGGCTGTACGCAATGTGAAGAGATTATTCCTTTAGAGAATGGAATCATTTTCTTAAGTCACTCACAGTAAATTCATGTACTTACACAATTGCGTAGAAAATAAGAATATGGTGAAGCATCAGACATTTCTGAGACTTGACTTTATGTAAGATTCCAACAGTTTCTGACTGACCTGTTGGGTGGAAAATGAAAAGCAACTGTTTAAAACCATAATACTTCTTTCATCCAGCAATATCCCTATGGGGTGCTTGAGAGAGGTAATTATTCCCAGGTAAAAGAAATCAGAGAAAGTATCAACTGAAGCCTCCCAGCTGTGATTTTAACCTGTAGTTACAATTCCTTCCAACACGTTTCACTGAATACATATCTATCCACAGCCGCCTTTGTGTCAAGCATTGTGTTGGAGTCAATGGTAAACAATATAACAATATCCTTGCTCTCTTACCAGTACAGCTAGTTATTAGAATAAGTAGTAAGTAAGAAATTTGAGTTTTACTGGAAAATTTTTGTTTTTTTGAGGCAGTCACTTTGTTTCCCAGGTGATTGGGGTGTGATCACAGCTCACTGCAGCCTTGAACTCCTGGGCTCAAGCAATCCTCCTGTGTCAAACTCCCAAGTAGCTGGAACTATAAGTGTGTACCACACTCAGCTGATTTTTAAATTTTTTGTAGAGATGGGGTCTTACTATGTTGTCCAGGCTGGTCTTGAACTCCTTGGACTCAAGGAATCCTCCCACCTTGGCCTCCCAAAGTGCTGGGATTACAGTACCAGAAATTTTTGAAACATAATCTCATGTATTCAGAATCATGAAGTGACCTCCATGAAAGCTGTTCACTTTTGTATCCCTTACTGTAAGCATGGAACTGGGTACTGTTTGCTAAATGAATAAGAGAATTAATATGCAAAGACCTATAATACAAATGGAGGAAAGGGAATAGGAAAAGCAGTCATAAGGTGAAACAGAGGGGCCCTTTAAAAGTTACAGATAGTCCAGGCATGGTGGCTCACGCCTGTAATCCCAGCACTTTGGGAGGCCAGGTGGATGGATCACTAGAGGTTAAGAGTTAGAGACCAGCCTGAACAACATGGTGAAACCCCATCTCTACTAAAAATGCAAAAATTAGCCAGGTGTGGTGGTATGCGCCTGTAATCCCAGCTACTGAGGAGACTGAGGCACGAGAATAGCTTGAACCCAAGAGGCAGAGGTTGCAGTGAGCTGAGATCGGGTCATTGCACTAGTCTGGGTGACAGAGCAAGACTCTATTAAAAAAAAAAGTTACAAATAGACATCTCCAATCCTTCTCAACAACAACAACAACAACAAAAACCCCTAAAACCTCCATTCCTTACCGTGTGCAGGGAGACTCTTGGCTTTTCCTTCAGGTACTCTGTTCACATGGGCATCTGCCCGAGTTGGCTTTGCTTCTCCCTTGGAGACATTCAGAACTGTTTGGGATTCTGTCACATGGAAATCTACTAAGCCAAAATGGAGCTGGGTAAGTTTTCTCTCCAATGTATTTAAAAACAGGATTAACCAGCAAGTAGATCAATCCCTTAATATGCATAATGGTCAAGAATATGAATGGATCTTCTCACAAGTCAGTCGTGGTGGCTGGGGGCTGAAATGGAATGCTTAAGCAAATAAGTAATAAAGTGGTTTAAGGATAGTCTTTCATTTTCCAACCAACTCACATGGATGATTCAGCTGTAACAATTGAAAACATTATTGAAGTAAGAGGGAAGAAAATATTATGTTTCTCTCTCACCAACGCAATATTAAGTCTATTTAAGAGACCTCTGTTGAATGTGCATAAAAATGTGCATTTTTCCTCCATTTGTATTATAGGTCTTTGCATATTAAAGAAATGAATTTTTAACACACAGGCAATTCTTTTCCCTTGAACGCTCAAGGCACCCTTTCTGCAGACCCCATTTCTGATTTTTAACTAGGGAAGACTTTTTTTTTTTTTTCCAGGGGTTGGAGTGAGGATGTTTTGTGGGGAATTAAATTTTAGTCAAAATAAAACAATTTCCCAAACCTCGGGAGTTCTCAGATTCAGGAGTCTGAGAACCAGAACTGCTGTATCCTTCCATGTCTTGCCTTCTTTGTTGAACCACTCCATCCAGATCTGAGAATTCGTCATTGAAATCCTGAAAGGAAAAAGTGAAATGAAGACAGGCCGATTTTCCCTTAGTAAACAGGCAGGCCTTTGTAAATCCCAGCCCTTTCACCTAGGCCTGTCCTACAAAACATAGAATAGATGGAGGGATTACCCCGTCCGACTGGGATTTTCCCAACAGATCACTGAGTATCTGGTTACTGAAACCGATTTTTTGGGTGGTTAAAATTCTGTCAACAAATAGTGGCCAAGTTGTTTGAAACAACAAATGTCTAGAAAAAACCCAGGACGCCGATGATTGAGAACCTTCCCGCGTGAAGCTAAAGAGGTTTCATTAGCACTTTGTAATGAGAAAAACTGATTACTATAGACATATACAAGAGAAAAAAGTAGAGAGAAAGCTTTAAATCCAAGTTCAAATATGTAGACAGAAAGATATTACTAAATTATAATTTTTTAAAAAGTATTGGAAACAGAAAAGGAAAAACGGCTTTAGCAAATTAGACTCTCAAAGTAAAATGTAAGCTCTTTTTCTTCCCTCAACTAAATCAAAATAGGGTGAGTAACAGTACATTTAAATTTTAGACTGATGCTGGAGGAGTAAGGGAAAAAGCACAGACGTTCTGCTTTGTATTCTTTTGGTTCCCCAAAGTGCTTCAGAGCTGAAGAGACAAATGGTGTCATTAAAATGTCCTGGCGAAGGTACAATTAGGCTGAGCTTTTAACAATTTAGTCAGCTGCCAAATGAAGATGAGACTCATCTTGTAAGCAAATTACCAACCTTTCACCTTGAACTAGCTGTTTTTTGTTCATCTCGACACTTATTTCAATTTCATACAAGGATTTATAGGAGAAGGAAAATAGAAAATTCTTCAATTTAATGATTTCTTGAATGCCTATCTTGTATCAGGCAGTATGCAAAGCTCCTTATATACATGATTGCATTTAATCTTCACAGCTACATCATGAAGCTGGCATTTTAATGCACGAAGAAACTTAGTCAAAGCAGTTAAAGAGCTTGCCTGATGATATAACATGGCTGGGTGGAGCCCAGATTTAATATCAGGTTTGTTGGATTACAAATCATATGTATTACATTATATTTTGTACTGCTTCCCACTACTATTTTTCAAGGTAGATTTTTAAGAAATTGAGATAAAATTCACATAACATAAAATCCGCCATTTAAAATTATACAATTCAGTGGTATTTAGAATATTCACAATGTTGTGCAACCATGACCACAATCTTATTCTGGAATATTTCCATCACCCTCAAAGAAAGCTCATACCCATTAGCAGTCACTCTCAATTTCTCCCTCACCCCATTCCCTGGCAGCCCCTTGTTTACTTTCTGTCCCTATGGTTTGTTCAGGACATTTCATATAAAGGGAATCATACAGTATGTGGCCTTTTGAGTCTGGCTTCTTTCACTTAGCATACTGCTTTCAAGGACCATCTATATTGTAGCATGTATCAGTACTTCATTTCCTTTTTATGGCTGAATAATATCCCATTGTATGGGTATACCACATTAAAAAAATCCATTAATCAGTTGATGGACATTAGGGTTTTCCCCACCTTTTGGCTATTTTGAGTAACTCTATTAACATTCTCGTACAAGTGTTTGTGTGAACGTGCTTTCAATCCCATCACTTTTTTTTGAGACGGAGTTTCACTCTTGTTACCCAGGCTGGAGTGCAATGGCGCGATCTCGGCTCACCGCAACCTCCGCCTCCTGGGTTCAGGCAATTCTCCTGCCTCAGCCTCCTGAGTCGCTGGGATCACAGGCACACGCCACCATGCCCAGCTAATTTTTTGTATTTTTAGTAGAGATGGGGTTTCACCATGTTGACCAGGATGGTCTCGATCTCTTGACCTCGTGATCCACCCGCCTCGGCCTCCCAAAGTGCTGGGATTACAGGCTTGAGCCACCGCGCCCGGCCATATTCCCATCACTTTTAAACTGCTCTCAAAAAAAGATTTGTTGGAGATGTTGAAACTCTGAGTTCATATTGTTTCATTAAAGTTGAATATTTATAATCATTTGAATGACATCATTAGAACTCTCTCGGGAAAACCTTATAATCATTATGGGTACAAATCTTATACAAACAGAGGGAGGTACTTCCCACTGGAGATTTACTCTACAGTTTACAAAGTCTAAGGGAATCAATCAAATGATCTCTACCTGTCACTTGGGCGTTATAGCTTTCTTTTCTTTTCTTTCTTTCTTTTTTTTTTTAAACAGTTAAATCTGAGCCTGTCTTCTTTTATAAGTTGTGAAGTCTCTGAAGGCAAGAAATAGTTTTAATTTTTCCTGGTATCCTACAGTGTGCACTAGCATGGTGCCATGAACACAGGAAACATTTGAATGTGTGGGATGACTCAGTCCTACCTCAAACAGAGTTGTGAATCCCTCTAAGCCAATACTGACGAGCAAACAGAGCAAGACTCTATGCACACCTTCACACACCAAGGTAGCCTACTATGCGTTTCTTTCCTTTTGTAGGAAACTCTTCAATTACTTGCAAAAAGTTTATGGCTACTATGGTTTCCTCTTCTTCAAGACAGGTATATCCTGTTTCTTCAACTGTGCCTCAAATATTTTGGTCCTAAGCTCTTCCCACAGCTCAGTCATGGTGTAAGCACAAGTGTAACTGTGGGACATATTCCCTTTCCTTTGCATTTAGATAGTTTTATAGGCGACTAACCAGAGGCAGAGACGAAGGGCGGTCTGCTCGGAAACTGTTTTCAGCAGAAGATGGATTGGGACTGTTACCAACACTTGTATTCTGAAATCATTGGAACAAAATGAAAAACCAGATCAGCTATGAAACCATAAGAAATACAGAAGACAGGCAGTAATTGAGGCTCAGGGACATCATACTCACTTCTAAGTGTCCACATACAGATCTTAGTAGTTTGTAAGTTGAATCTCTGGAGAGTAAAGAGACAAATATGTACTGAAAAACAAAATGGAATAATTACGAAGAGATATTCCTGATGCGAAGTGGGAGTTCACAGTTCAGAAAAGTATCTGTATCCAGCTTCTCATTTGCAAACAATGTGGACCTCTCTTTGGTCCATATTCTCATTCCTTTCACCCAAACATTCAGTTTTTATTCCATTCCTACAATAAAGTAAACGTATTCTCCCACAGAAGCAACAAAACCCTCAAACCCAGTTTAAGAGTAATAAATAAATGCAGGGCAAAATGAAGGCTCCAAAACCCTGACATCGGTGCCTCAAACAGGCCCAGAGAAGAAAAGGCCTGGACATTAAGAAAAGGCTGCTGACATTCACCAGGTCCCCTTTAAAATCTCTCTCCCTCTGTTTTTGTTTTTAAGGGTATTTAACAATTCCCAAGGGTCTGCTTTCTCTGCTCTGACCTAGATTTCCACTGAAAACTTCCCAGCGTCTCTAACAGGCTAGTTCTCTTTCATGCTATTTCCAGATTCTTCCTTGTACAAATATGGAGATTTTCTAGTGGAGATTTATAAGTGAGCTATGGGAAAGGAGTAAAATCAAAGCTAGACAAATCACGAGAGGACAAATGACATCAGGAAAAATGATTTTACCATAAACAATACGTTCAGAAAATATAAAAACCTACTTTTTTCTCCATCTATTTAGGCCATAGAATGTTTTCAGACCTCCTTTCCATGAGTTTGTGATTATCCTTCTCATTCACCAATGAGGAAACTTGAATTATTTCCAAGCAAGAACTGTATTCCAAAGTAATTAATATTGTGGGTTCTGGCGTCAGGCAGATCCAGTTGCAAATGCTGGCTCTGACACGTACTAAGTGGGTGACACTGGGAAAATTGCTTAACCCTTCTAACCTTCAGTTTTCCTAACAAGTCACCCATTACAGGGTGTTGGCATTGAACAAATGAGAAAATATAAGAAAAGCATTAGTGTATGCCTGACAAGGAGGAAATACTGATGCCTGTTGACTATTAGTATTTAAAAAAATCACCAAATAGATATTAACATATTTTCTAGCTTATCAGAATGGTCTCTTTTATCTTTCCTTTTTTCTTCTCTCTATAGTTTTCTAGTATGGTTAGAAAGGAAATCTATCGCCAGTCATGGTGGTTCATGCCTGTAATCCCAGCACTTTGAGAGGCTGGGGAGGGTGGATCACTTGAGCCGAGGAGTTTGAGACCAGCCCTGGCAACATAGCAAGATCCCATCTCTATTAAAAAAAGAAAAAAAGAAAAAAACAGAAATGAAATCTATAGAATGTAGATTTTATGCTTCACAGAAGTAATAGGTGAAAGATTTTTAAAAATTTCATGTGAGAAGTAACCAGACCACTCTCTCTTTCTTGCCAAGTTAAAATACACACCACTGTAATGCAAATTTTTCTGATTGCATATGTCTTAGGTAGCCCAATAGTCAATTCAGCTCTAGAATTTCTGTAAAGGAGGTAGTTCAGGCAACCTGGAAATAAAGAAGGTCTAAAAACGGATCCCGCACCTGCAGTTGCAGAGCAGGTACAAGTTGTATTTATCTGGAAGGGCACTGGGGAGATACTGAGGTTATGGAAAGGCTGGCTACCGCCATACCAGGGACTCCTCACTATCAACCTGCCTGCCTCCCCCTGTCAGTAAAAAATGGTGGTTGTTGTTGCTATTGTTCTTTATAAATATTTATTCCTTTTTTGAGACAGGGTCTTACTCTGTCACCCAGGCTGGGGTGCAGTGGTGCTTGATCTCAGCTCACTGCAACCTCTGCCTCCCAGGCTCAAGCAATCCTCTCACCTCAGCCTCCTGAGTAGCTGAGACCACAGGTGTGTGCCAGCACACCTGGTTAATTTTTGTATTTTTTGAAGAGACAGTTTTCGTCATGTTGCCCAGACTGATACTGAACTCCTAAACTCAAGCCATCTGCCTGCCTGGGCCTCCCAAAGTGCTGGGATTACAGGTGTGAACCACCATATCTGGATTTTTTTTTCTTTTTCTTTGAGGTAGGGTCTTGCTCTGTTGCCCAGGCTGGAGTGTGGTGGCACAATCATGGCTCACTGCAGCCTTTACCTCCTGGGTCCAAGTGGTTCTCCTACCTCAGCCTCCTGAGAAGCTGGGATCACAGGCATAACCCACCATGTCCAGCTAATTTTTGTATTTTTTGTAGCAACGGGGTTTCACCATGTTGCCCAGGATAGTCCCCGACTCCTGGGGTCAAGCAATCCTCCCATCTCAGCCCTCAGTCTCCCGAAGTGCTGGGATTATAGGCATGAGCCACCACGCCTGGCCTCCTTTTTTTTTTTTTTTTTTTAAAGACTATTAAAGACCTGAGTATATCAGTTTAGCCTGACCTAGTAGATGTGAGGGAAAAAGAAGTTGAGAAAGAATTTTATTTTTTTGACCTTGGTCAGGCAAGTATAATTAAGTCAGCAGGAAATTCAAAATTGGCAACACTTCTATGAGAATAAATCACCTTGTGAAGGGAAACAGCACTCCATGAATGCCTACAGGCTATGGTTTTTAAAATTAGTCTCATAGAATTTTCCTGATTCACCACAGGAGATGAAGGTATTTATGGTTTGGAGTCTTGGTCCTTGGCAAGAGGCCCCTCAGGCAGCAAAGCCCAGAGCAGGAGGACAAAGCAAAGGTGCCCTCACTCTGCTGCGTACTCACCCTGTCTGTGACCGTTGCTATGATCAGGGCATTTGGCACTAGAAGAGCAGTTTTGGTTTTCTTTATTAGGGTTACTGAGAAAGCTGGAATAGAGATCTGAAACAGAATCACCAAGTTAATGCCAGTTCAGACTTAACAGAACAGCACTTCAAATCTTCATGTTAAAGGAAAAAAAAAAAAAATCAGAAATCAGAAATCAAAATCAGCAGCAAGCTTTCACAGCCTCCATGAAGAAAAGTCAGTCTTAGAGTGGCAGGGATGTGTCACTGAAGCTCCTCCAAGTGGTGCTTACTAAGCCAGAGGATACATCTGAATCATCGATTCAGCTGAAGATCTTGGTGGGAAACCTTTATCTTCAGACATGGAAATGGAATGCAAAATGTATATTCATTTTAAAGAAAAAGCCCAAGGCTCCAACGAAATTTCAAGCTTGTGGTCATCTACTTTGGGCTAATTTCCACATGCCCCACTCTCCTGTCTCTTTAGGTCATGCTGGGGGGGGGAAAGGTTAAAAAGCACTAATAATAGGAACATCACTGGACAGAAAATCTGGGACCTGAATTCTTGGCTCAGTTATGTTACTACAGGTTGAGCATCCTTAATCTGAAAATCAGCTATCCAAACTATTCCAAATTTGCATGCTGATATTGGCGCTCAAAGGCAATGCTCATCGGAGCATTTCAGATTTTGGATTTTTGGATTAGGGATGCTTAGCCAGTTGCATGTTGGCAGACATTGCAAAATCTGAAATCCAGAACACTTCTGGTCCCAAGTATTTTAGATAGGGGATACTCAACCTGTATCTAAATAACCTACTCCACCTTGTAAGCTCTCCGTTCCAGGCCTCAGTTTCTTTTTTTTTTTTTGAGACGGAGTTTCGCTCTTGTTACCCAGGCTGGAGTGCAATGGCACGATCTCGGCTCACCGCAACCTCCGCCTCCTGGGTTCAGGCAATTCTCCTGCCTCAGCCTCCTGAGTAGCTGGGATTACAGGCACACGCCACCATGCCCAGCTGATTTTTTGTATTTTTAGTAGAGACGGGGTTTCACCATGTTGACCAGGATGGTCTCGATCTCTTGACCTCGTGATCCACCCGCCTCGGCCTCCCAAAGTGCTGGGATTACAGGCTTGAGCCACCGCTCCCGGCCAGCCTCAGTTTCTTGATTTATAAATTGGAGATAGTCTCGTCTGCTTCTCAGGATTTTATGTGGATTAAGTGAGATAAAATATGGAAAATGCCCAGTGATGAATAAAAATTTCATTTATCTCCTTACCTGTTTCATGAAATCAGGGTGTGTGAAATAAAAGAATTATAAATATGTTTTCTGGTTCAACAAAGGATAACAACAATGATAACTATTAAAGCTACCATAATTGATACCTATTTACCAGATGAGAATTTAATTTAATTATAAAAATTCTACATGGTCAATATTATAAGAAATAAATAAATTTATTTAGAGAGGTACATGTCATACATAAGAAGTTACAAAGATGGAATTCAAACCAATCTTTCAAAATGTGAGTTCTTTTCAATATGATGTGCTATAAGAATGTATCAAATGGCACAAAGCACGGAAGTTCATGATAATTTTATGTTATATCTCTCCAACCAAGTTTGATCTCTAAGGAAAATGGATCGCATCACTTTAGTCCCTGAAAATAGAGTCACACGTAGCCATGGTAAAAATGATCTAGGATGGGCATGGTGGCTCATGCCTGTAATCCCAGCACTTTGGGAGGCGAAGGTGGGTGGATTACCTGAGGCCAGGAGTTCAAGACCAACCTGGCCAATGTGGTGAAACCCCATCTCTACAAAAAACAGAAAAATGATCTGACTCCCTCCTTCCCTAGGAACTCACACTCACTTGAACATCTACTTGAAAATGCCTCACATATTCTCAAAGTGGAGAAGAGATGCGCTTTATGTAAGTACTACCAGCTTGGAGGAAGCAAAATGAGCTTTTAATTCTGAATATCTGCATTCACATCTGGGTTTATGAGGTGGGATTATTTACTGCCCTCAACGATCTAGGCAGGAAGATTATGGAAGAATAAGGGCAACCCAGTTGAGACATTTTCTAAAAACTGTTTGCCAAAGAACTCCACTCACATTTTTCAAAGGCGGGAGGCAATTCAGAGCTTATAAGGTGGGATAAATTTGGAAAAAAGGAATTTGAGATCTACTTAGATGATGTTAATAAAAAATGGGTCTAATTTTGTTTCTGAGCAGCAATACAAACACGCAGTGACAAAGGGCTATAAATTTAGATTTTTCATCATTTAAGGCATGGAACACCCTTAAGAAGGAGTTTTCAATCAATTGCTTCATAAGTATAAAAGTACAACTAGATAACATTTGTAAAATAAAGCTTAAATCACTTTTCAGTTTGAGCCTAGACAGAATGTGATACATGCATGTTAATTTTGCTAACATCTGCAACTACCAACAGGCTGACTAAAAAGGTCCTGATTAAATTAAGGCTACACTTTATTAATATTTTTCCAGAGTGAATGATAATATTTTTCCAGGGCAATGGTAACATTTTTCCAGGGCAAATTGCTTTAGAAGGGGAACTTGATTAGAAAGTTCCCATTGTAGAGCAATTGTTTGGGTGCCTTGAGCTCATATTGGACCACGTTGGACTGAAGTCCACTGGCAGTGAGGAAATTCTGCAACATCTCTGAAGTCCAAGTCTCCTTTGACATCATTCTTAGAAGGGATGGAAGATACAAGTCACTATCATGGTTTTTATTCCCACGCTCTGCTAATTTTCAGTCTCCTGCCTCTGTAGGTTACACATTGTAAAAGCAATCTCAGTGGATCCAGGTCTTCAAAAAACCAGGGTCACTCTTTCTAACTTCTTTGTATCAGCTCTCTCTTAGGTAGAAGTAGAACTTTAAAACCATTGCGAGAATCGTATTAGCTTGAAACTGCACTGACTGCCTTTGTGAATTCCCCAATCCCTTAACAAAGACTAACACTTTGTTCATCAGTGTCTTCAGTCCCTGCTGCTCTGCTCAGAGATGTTGGCTCTCTGTGAATTTCGGAGAAGTGTATCACATTGATTGGTACTACCCAATCCCCTTCCCCATTCCATGAAAAAGCCCTTTAATTCAGAAATGTAGAAATATATAGAATACTGCTTCATATTGCTTTGTATTATACTGATTCAGATGATACTGTGAATCAAATAATGCTTATCTAAATATAATTTTATATGATAAAAAATCAATATAAAAAGATGTTTTACCTAAAGAATAGTATGCTAGTCTCTAGCTCCAACACCAACAAAATGGTCTTTATGCAATTGCCAGTGGTTTTAGAGCGAATATTTAAAGGAAGCACATCTACCACTCAAAACAAAAAGAAGTTTTAGTCAGCTTCTTCATGAGTATGAAAGTTGTTTCTTCATAACCACAAATCAGAATGATTGACAACTCATTGAGGTCATGCAAACCCAAGAGGGCGTTTCTCTGACTCCTTATTCTGGAGGCCTGAATGAACTGTGATGTGACATCATAGCTCAAAGGTGAAAAAAAAAAAGTCAGTGGGATAGAATTATCTTTCCTTCATAGGCCACAGTCCCATGGTCCCCAGTTTAGAGGGCAGTACTGATTCCTTTAGGCTGTTCTCCTTAATGCCTCAGCGTGTCATGTGTCTCTGCCCCCCCAAATCTGTGTTTAATAATAATGAAAAGCTGTGATATTGGAGTCCACTTGGGACTGAGGGTATCTGACTTCCCAGGCTAGGCCTAACTGCTCTACCTCTTGCTCATTTTGTGCTGGGGAGGGTATAGCGGGAGCTTATTTATAGGTCTTCTGTCCTAGACATCGCTGCTGGTAACTGGTATAAATGTGGTACAAAAATGGATGTTTCTAAAAAGAAATCATTTTAGTTTAAATGTATGCCTTTGAAAATCATGGCACGCCCTCCATATAAACAACTTTGAGTGTTCCCTGGTGACATCTTGGTAAAAAGGATTTCGGGTATCGTTATGGGTGGGATATAAACTTTCTCCCTTCTTTATTTATACACATATACCTTATATAGGGGTATATGTGCATATATGAGGTTTATGTGTATAAAGAAAGGAGGGAGAAAGTTTAGGGAAAAAAGGGAAATTAGTGTCATCTGGAAGCATTTAGAACCTGTAGTATTTGGAACTAAAACAAAGGAAACTTGGCATAAAAAAAGAATAACCATGATGTAAATATCTATAAATATATCTAAATTTAAGACAATTAATATTTACCATATCTGATAAAGTATGGGGTTAGTGTTCTTCTTCTTTTTTTTTTTTTTTTTTAAATTATACCAACCTTTGTGTCCTTTCCAAAGACCTTGGAATGAAAACAAATCCAGTTTTCTGATACAAAGAGCTTTCCTTGGTATAGAATTTCTTTCTGTAGTGCACAGGTGAAGCCTAGGAGAATATACAGAGATATAGCATCATTTAGAATTTCCATTTAAAATAAAAACCGTGTATATATTTTAGCGACTCAAGGATGGGCAGAGATAATATATTCATACTCAAAAGTTCTATTGCCTCTTCTTCAGTTTTCTTTATGGGAAGAAAGCTGTGGTGACCAGCTTGTTTTTAAATTCAAAGTCTTACCAACTTCAGTATAAATATCAGAATAAAAAGGCAAATCTACCATTGTGCCTGATAGACCAAGAATGGGGTTTTACAAGTCTCCTCTACGTAGGCTGGTGTGTCACCCACGTGCTGATATTAGTACACCTGTTCCCCTTTTCCCCAGTATTCCCACTAACGACTGTTTTTGAAAAAGATTGCCTCACTAGGGGAAGAGCATGTGACTCATACCTTCCGTTTGAAGGTCATGGCAGGAACCCAGCATCTTGCCTTAACTTTTGCACATCAAGAGAGACTAGAATGGAATGTTGGGTTCCTTGATGAACCACTGCAGAGCCCAGTAGGTGTGTTTAACTTGCATACTGGGCAAGATATTTAGGTGACCATCACACCTTTCACAGTGGCATCAGCACACGTCTGTCCATGTCTAAGAATGTGAGTTTTCTTTTAGCCTTCTTCTAGTGGCCTCTCTTGCCCCAGGCTTGTTATTCTAAACCTTAATGCAATCTAACCCCGTGTATTTCACAATAAAGAAGGGAAGTACTGGTATCATGGAACCACCTTGGGTGACTCCATACCCCATGGAGAACTGTTTCTCTTTCTCCTCTCTGATCTTTTCATGCTGCCCAGTGAAAGCGGACTGAAGCTGGTGTTATTGTTACGTCATGACTTTCAGAAACCTGGTCCCCTGGGTGACTCAGTCCATAGATGCTGCTCTCTTTCTTCCCCAAAACTAATGATCAGCTTTTCAAATGTGTAGCTAAAAAAGTCAAACAGGTCAGAACTTACTTTGCCTCAGTGGTTCCTCCGTTGGAACATTAAGAAACAACTTGTGAAAGTGCATGTTGGCCTTGTACTACAATGAGAACAAAATACAAGCATCACTACTCTCATTTTCTTGTGAAACATCACAAATTTTAGATTCAATAACAAATTTCCCCTCCCTTAATAGTAACTTTAGGAATTCCTTCTCACTGATCTTACAGTCTCTGACAAAAGCCTTCAGGAAAACACCGTGAAAATTAGGGCATACAAGTTTCATTTTCTAACAAGTTTAACACTTTGCTGGTTGGATATAATGATGCAGCTGCTGGTCAGCCTACTGCCAAGGTAACAGGGCTGGACAAGGATGTCCCTGATGAGAAATGGGATGAAATTCTAAGGAGTCTCATTAGAGAAGGTACTGAATCCCAGGTCCTTAAGGTACCAGTAGGGACTCTCAGAAGAGTACAGTGGTTAAAAGCTTTGCAATCAGGTAAGGCTGAGTTGAAGTCTTGGCTGTAGTGGCTCTACTTCTTGGTGTGTGACCATGGCTTAGTCACTTCATCTTCCTGGGTCTTGGTTTCCTCTTCTGTACCAGAGAGCAAAAACAGTACCTGCCTCAAGGGATGCCTTAGGCTTAAATGGGATAATACACTGAATGGACCTATAGTCTAAGGCAACATATGGCCACTCTTCCTACCGCATTATTTTGTAAAGGCATTTCCTTAGCCAGTGACAGGAGTAGGATGCAGTAGGCTACTGTCAAGACAAGTAGGATTTCACACAAAGACTTCACTCTCCAGGGCAGCAGGAGGCCCAAGACTGAAATGTTGCAAATCACTTCATCTTCGAGGGATCTGTTTTCACAACTGTGACAATAACAATGGATAGCCAGCACTTCACAGCTTGTAAAACACTTTCACCTGCACCATACAGCTATTAAGGGGTAGAACTGTTAGCTGAACATGATGGCTTGTGCCTACCGTCCTAGCTACTCAGGAGGCTGAGGCAGGATCTCTTGAGCCCAGGAGTTCAAGGCTACAGTGAGCTATGGGGTAAAACTGGGTATTCCCTCCACAGACTCAATTTGTCTCATAGGATGCTTCTGAAGGAAAATTCTTTTTTTTTTTTTTTTTGAGAGGGAGTTTTGCTCTTGTTGTCGAGGCTAGAATGCAATGGTGTGATCTCAGCTCACTGCAACCTTTGCCTCCCAAGTTCAAGCAATTCTCCTGCCTCAGCCTCCTGGGCAGCTGGAATTACAGGTATGCACCACCACACCTGGCTAATTTTGTATTTTTAGTAGAGATGGGGTTTCTCCATGTTGGTCAGGCTGGTCTCAAACTCCTGACCTCAGGTGATCTGCCTGTCTTGGCCTCCCAAAGTGCTGGGATTACAGGCATGAGCCACCGCGCCCGGCCTCAAGAAAAAATTCTTATAAGGGGAATGGGTAGGAGGTCCTGGGTGGCTTTTTATTCAAACCAAGAGTGGTCTCAATGGCAAAACTGGCCCTGTTTTGCCATAAAGAACTATAGACCAGGTCATCGAGATGACAGATGGTCCCTGCAAGTCAGCTATTTTATAGATAAACACCTTATAGAAAGATACCTTGATTAAAGCTAGGTGTTCTGTGGGGCTTCACTGAGCTTTTATTTTTAATGGCTACAGTGAGCAATGGTTGCACACTTGATTTAAAATATGTTAGCCCATAAACTCTTCAAAAATGTCAGTGTAATAAAGGGCCAAAAAGGTAGTGGGGCTGATCTGAATTAAAAGGGACATAGCAGGGCTGAGTGTGGTTGCTCATGTTTGTAATCCCAGCACTTTGGGTCACCCAAGTGGGCAGATGGCCTGAGGCCAGGGGTTTGAGACAGGCCTGGCCAACATGGCGACACCCTATCTGTACTAAAAATACAAAAATTAGCTGGGTGTGCTGGTGCACCTCTGTAATCCCAGCTACTCGGGTGGGTGAGGCATATGAGAATCACTTGAACATGGGAGGTGGAGGTTGCAGTGAGCCGAGATTGTGGGCAACAGAGCAAGGCTGTCTTAAAAAAAAAAAAAAAAGAAAAAAAGAAAAAGAAAAGACATGGCAAATACATGCAGTATGTGACTCTTGGTTGGATCCTGGAGAGGAAAAAAAAAAGCCTTTATAAAGGACATTTATTACTGGGACTATGAAAATTCAAAAGTGGATTTTATATTAATAATATTTTAATACATATTTAAATTTCTTGGGTGTACTGATGGTTTTTGGTTTAGCTCTTAGGAGACACATGTTCAAGTATTTAAAGAAGTGAAGAATAATTGAAAAAAAACAAACAAACCCAAACTCCTGGCCCCAGTACATGTATCACACTCGCTGATGACATACAACTGGGCTTTGCTTCCTATCTGGGTATATTTTAGAGTAGAACCAAAATTAGTTCTGGAGGAGAATCCTTACCCTGTCCAAAGGTCTGATTCCTCCAGGTGTTGTTGGCTGGGCTACCATTGAGGCAGGTGCATTATCATATTCTTCAATTTCAGTACAAGGATGTCACAACTCCCCTTGTCCTGCTAATTACTGGATAAGCACATGACTCTGTGCTGGCCCCTGATCTCCGGGTATCTGTTAGAGTTCAGGGTCACAGCATGGAACTCATTATCATGCAGTGTGCTGAAAGATGAGTTGTGGAATATAACATTGATGAAAAATGGACTGGAGGAACTGCTGCCTGTTTGTTCTTCTAAATTCTCTAAACTCTATGACTACATTAGTCTTGACTAGCAGGAAGGTGCATACTTGGGTTCCTTCTTGTCACCGGCTTCAATAGTCCTGTTACCCTCTAAGACAATACAAATTCCACTCTCAAATTACCTGGCTGGAAGAGGAAGACTTTTTCCTTTCAGTCTTAGAATCATTTTTGCTTTCTGTTTTACAGTCGTTCTTATCACCTGCTAAAGAGGCACCATCAAAACTGGATTTTGACCTAAAGAAAGAAAGTCCAGGGTGTCTGTAAGATAATTTTTTTTTTTCTCAAGACAGAGTCTTGCTGTGTTGCCCAGGCTGAAGTGCAGCAGCACAATCATGGCTCACTGCAACCTCCCCATCCTGGACTCAAGTGACCCTCCCACCTCAGCCTCCTGAGTAGCTGGGACTACAGGTGCGTGTCACCATGCCCAGCTAATGTTTTGTAGAGATGGGGTTTCACCATGTTGCCTAGGCTGGTCTTGAACTCCTGGACTTAAGCAATCCACCTGGCTTGGTTTCCCAAAGTGCTGGGATTACAGGTTTGAGTCACCACACCCAGCCTATGAGATACATTTTTTATGCTGCTCATTAATTTATTGTAATAAATCTTGATTATGATACTATCTTCCAAGAAAATCTGACATTTGTTTTTCTTTTCTGGATATCAAAAATCATTCATGCTACTCTGAGGGCATTTACACAGCACATACTTTAGGACACTGGAATGATTTCAGCAGGTTGTAATCAAAAACTGTAGAAATAGTAACTTACAGAGGCTGAAATAACAAGCTGTGAAAACTTATTATTTTAAAAGTATTATATCATTTTAAAAGTATTTTAATCAGTATTTAAAAAGGAGTACTTGAGGCAAATTACTAACTGGTATTGCAACTATAGTTCAATCAAAGAATATTTTTGTTTCAGAATTCCATTAATATTTAACAAGTATTAATTGAGTGGGGCATTGTGTTAAATGTCTTAGGGCCCATAACACAGTCTTTATCCTTTTTTTCCTTTTTGAGACGGAGTTTTGTTTCCCAGGCTGGAGTGCAGTGGTGTGATCTCAGCTCACTACCACTTCCCACATCCTGGGTTCAAGCAATTCTCCTGGCTTAGCCTCCCAAGTAGCTGGGATTACAGGCACCCGCAATGTCTGGCTAATTCCTGTATTTTTAGTAGAGATGGGTTTTCTCCATGTTGGTCAGGCTGGTCTCGAACTCCTAGCCTCACGTGATCTGCCTGCCTCGGCCTTTCAAAGTGCTGGGATTACAGGCGTGGGCCACTGAGCCCGGCCTCACAGTCTTTATCCTTAAGGCGCCTGTGTACACATGCATCAAACACTTTTTAAAATAGGTAGTATGTGATTTAGTACCAAAACAGTACATACTATAGGAGTTAAAGAAGATATGGAGCCAGTAAGTCTAACAGGAGGTAAGAGAAGAGGAAAACAATAGAATAATGAGGACTTCAAATGCTGGGCCCAACAGGATAAGCAAGAGTTGGGTATGAGCAAAAAAAAAAAAGACAAAACATCTCAGATCGAGAATACAATAAAAGTGAAATCAGAAATAAAAACAAAACCAAAAAACATGTTTGAAGTCAAGCCTTTCTTCTTCCTCTCAAGGACAGAGGTCAGAGCTCCAGAGTTTCTTTCCAAGGCGATTCTAGTCCTGGTTGTCCATTTTAGTAGATGTGTACATTTGTACATATCTTCAACCCTATGGCTAAAAGCAGTCATTTCAAAGTGAAATGCATGGATGATTTTTAGTTATATATGAGAATAAGTTTTATGATTATGAAGTTGTTGTATTGTTTACTGGGAAAAAAACGGCACATAAAATTCATGATTTCACAATATTATCCCTTAAAATGAGGTTCAGTTAAAAAAAAAGTTGGTTCAAAGTGGATTTAAGAACAATCTGAAGTAATTCAGGTGGTATATGGGTGTCACAAAGAAACAGAAATGACTGAAGTTAGAGAATTAGGCTCTGGTTTTCTCAGCTGTGAAAAGATGGACTATATGACGTCCTGAGCCACTTCTAGCCACAACAGTGTATGATTCTACAATGCTCGAATCACAGGTCAAATACCCCTCAGCAGCTCAAGGTAAATGAATTTAATTTCAGCTACAGGCCATTGAAACTGTATATTCACAGACGTGAATTCCCTGGGAATTTTAGGGATTACTTTTTTTTTCGGAAGCTTTGAAAAAACATTTGTTCTCTATTTGAAAATAAAATTATTTGTACAAATGTCAATTTACCTTTTATTTATACTATTCACAGGTTTGAATACATCACCTCTACTGATTCAAATTAACAAATGTTAATGGAATTGCCAAGGAAATGATCAGATTGAAGATCCATGGACTGCAAGCGAATGTGAAAAGCAGGGTGGCTCTACCCTTGAAAATTTCAAAAGACACAAACAGTAAGTAGGCTCGTCTGCATGACACTGACCCCTGTGGACAGGGTACACATGTATAGAATATTGATTTCTTTGGGTCTTTTCAACAGTGTTAGTCTCACTTTCTACAGGTGACAAGAAGCCCTGTGTAAAATGAGAATGTGGGGTCCCTTATATAAAAATTGTTATTATTAATTAATTAATTTTTTGAGGCACAGTCTCGCTCTGTTGCCAAGGTTGGAGTGCAGTGGCACCATCTTGGCTCACTGCTGCCTCCACTTCCTGGGTTCAAATGATTCTCCCGCCTCAGCCTCCCAAGTAGCTGGGATTACAGGCGCATACCACCACGCCCAGCTAATTTTTATATTTTTAGTAAAGGCAGGGTTTCACCATGTTGGACAGGTTGGTCTCGAATGCCTGACCTCAAGTTATCTGACTGCCTAGGCCTCCCAAAGTGCTGGGATTACAAATGTGAGCCACGACACCTGGCCCCCTTACATAAAAATTATTAAGTATTTCCAGATAGCAAGAGGGAACCATTAAACCAAGTGTGGGCCCTTTCCAACTGCACAGACCACATGCCCATGAAGTTTAGCAAGCATGCCCTGTGAGAGTATGTTATTTTTACCGAGACCTGGGGAAGTTGGAATAAAACCAACAGTGTTTTCAAGGTGCCTGCTATAGTCAGCCAACAGTAGTAAAAGATACAAGAAATAACATGCCTTGTGCCTTTGTGAAGAGAAGTATTAAGTAAGGCTGTGAGGGGAAACAACTAGAGGAAAAAAAATGGTTAAAGTTAGATGTCAGCCGGGTGTGGTGGCTCACGCCTGTAATCCCAGCACTTTGGGAGGCTCAGGCAGGCGGATTACCTGAGGTCAGGAGTTCAAGACCAGCCTGGCCAACATGGTGAAACTCCGTCTCTACTAAAAATACAAAAATTAGCTGGGTGTGGTGGTGCACGCCTGTAGTCCCAGCTGCTGGGGAGGCTGAGGCAGGAGAATCACTTGAACCTGGGAGATTGCAGTGAGCTGGGAATGTGTCACTACACTCCAGCCCGGGTAACAGAGTGAGACTATCTAAAAAAAAAAAAAAAATGCCACAAAACAGGCATGCAGAAAAGATAGAGAGATAATTGGGAATTAGAGTCAGAAGAGGACAATTCGGGGAGGAGTCAAGACTTACTCTTGGTCCTGAATGAAGCATATATTTGGAGAGAAGGTATGGGCTGGGAAGCCGGGAAGGAAGCAAAAAGTGGAGTTAATCATCTTTTAGCAGAGACCAAAAGAAGTAGAAGGTAGTAGCTCTAAAAGTTCTAATAATGGGGAAGGACAGCAATGATTTCTCTACTTAGGTTAGATAACTGCACTTTCCCATCATACACTATTGGTTTAACCACTGTCTTTTAAGGGCCCCAAAGCAACTTTAGTCTCTGATTGGTAGTTGGTGCCTCTGAGAATGATGGGGCTGTAGCTACATATCTCTAAACTGCCTCTCCCCTCCCGCCCCATGACCATACCAACCCTCCCTCTTAGCCCGTCACAGGAAACTGGTGGCCTGGTGAGTCCCAGAGATGGTGGTTCTTTTCCTTAGCTTTTTTCATGGCTCCCAAGACAGTGAGACACCAGGTGTGCACACTGAGGCTGGGCAGACACTCCAACCTGGGCAGTTTTTCCAGGTGCTTTATAAATCTATGTCTGAGAGTGGGTCACCCTGGCTTCATCCCTCAGCAAAATCAGGGCTTTCAGAAAAGTGTAGATGCTCTGCTGAAGGCCAGGAGCTCAAGGAAAAATGCTCATTCTTTCTCATGGGTATGTACTATTTGTCTGTAGTATTAATACGTCCTCACTCTTAACAAAAAACCCCTGCTCCTCCCATAACGCGCTCCCAAAAAGACAAAAGAGAACAAAGAGAGTCAATGAAGGACTTACCGCAGGCTAATGATTTTCTTCTGGTCTGGGGAGTCGGCCTCCGGAGATAGGGTAGGGGACTGGGCTGTCGGCGACTTGCAGGCTTTCTTTTTCTCTTCCACACCATTCTCAGCCTCTGAGCTGGAGAAGAAAGGAAAACACTTCATCTTAGACCTTCAGAGAGAGGTAGCTGGAAGGAAAACAAGTAGCCTGGCTTTCTAGGGAGTGGAATGATTTTCATTCCCCAGTGATAGGCTAGTTAACTTTGGCAGCTAGTCCCTTTCCCAATCTCCATTCTAACCCCTTGCCTGGTGCCCCACGGGCAGTAGCTGCAGGTCACACCTGTTTCACCTGTAAATGCCAGACTGTGTGGACTTTTTTTTTTTTTTTTGAGGAAGAAAGAGAAAGAATAAAAAAAAAAAAAGGAAAAGGAAAAAAAAAAGAATAAAGGAAAGGAAGAAAGAGGAAGAGGAAGAGGGAGAGAGAACAGGGTGTTGCTTTATTGCCCGAGCTAAAATGCAGTCTAAAACTGGGTATGCCTGTAATTATGTTTAATAATAGAGACATAAAAAAAAAAGAGGGAAGAAAATAATTAACAAGCAGCCAATCAATATTTCATTTAAACCTGTAAATATGTGTGATGTAGTACTAATAAGAGTGTATATTTTGTGGATTTAAAGTGGAGAGTTCTATGAATGTTAATTAAGTCTACTTGTTCCGGATCTGAGTTCAAGTCCTGAAAATCTATGTTAACTTTCTGTCTCATTGATCTGTAAGTCTCCCACTATTATTGTGTGGGAGTCCAAGTCTCTTTATAATTCTTATATATCTGGGTATTTCTGTATTGGGTGCATATATATTTAGGATCTTTAGCTCTTCTTGTTACATTGATCCTTTTATCTTTATGTAATATCCTTCTTTGCTTCTTTTGATCTTTGTTGCTTTGAAGTCTATTTTACCAGCAAAAATTGTGTGGACTTGCTGGCTCCCAGGTCTGTGTTGCCCAGCTCTGCTCTGCATAGGCTGTGCTGGGGCAGCAGATCACCTGGAGGCTGGGAGGGCCCTGCACACACACGCGCATGCGCACATGCACACACACACGCTCATGTGTGGCCTCCTGCAGGTGTGAGCCTTCCTGCTGGGAACCCCCACCCCTTTTGTTTGTACTTCTCTTATGTCACTTACATGTTGTTTAACCAAGCAGTTCCCTAAGCAACGTACAGTCTCTAATCTTTACAACCACCCAGACTAGGTAGCCATTACTACCCTTATTTAATAGACGAGGAATCTAAGGCTCTTGCTATCTTGCCCAAGTTCACAGAGCTAGCATCTTTTTTTTGGTGTTGTTTCAAAATCTCTTTTATTAGTGTGTTTATCGCAGTCCTGCATCCAAATGTTACAGAAAATTTTTTTAAATATGTATTTTATTGCGTTTTAGGTTTTGGGGTACATGTGAAGAACATGCAAAATTGTTGCATAGGTACACACATGGCAGTGTGGTTTGCTGCTTCCATCCCCGTCACCTATATCTGGCATTTCTCCCCATGTTATCCTCCCCAACTCCCTATCACCCCGCTGTCCCTCCGCTATTTCCCCCCGACAGACCCCAGTGTGTGATGCTACCCTCCCTGTGTCCATGTGTTCTTATTGTTCAACAGCCGCCTATGAGTGAGAACATGCAGTGTTTGATTTTCTGTTCTAGTGTCAGTTTGCTGAGAATGATGGTTTCCAGGTTCATCCGTGTCCCTACAAAGGACACAAACTCATCGTTTTTGATGGCTGCATAGTATTCCCTGGTGTATATGTGCCATATTTTCCCTGTCCAGTCTATCATTGATGGGCATTTGGGTTGGTTCCAAGTCTTGCTAGCATCTATCTTACTTGAGATTCCAACTCAGTATGTCTGTCTGCAAAGCCTTTGTATTCTGTCTCTCCATCCATTCCCCCAACCACCTACCCATCCATTTATCCCTATAATTAACTCTTTAGTGTGAGAGCTCCAGGATGGGGTGGGAATCTTATTCATCTTTGTCCTAACCACAGGGTCTAGGATAGTGTTGACCTGCAGTCATGGTCAATAAGCTTTGGAAAAACTAGGGCTGACCTTGGTAAAAGAGAGGGTGGAAGGGAGGAGAGGGGAGGTGAGTCAAGAGGGTTTGTGCATAGAGCCAACAAATGGAGACAACCAGCATGGGGAGGTAGCGAGATGGGCTCCCTCAGTCGGCCGGTGAAGATCTCCTGGGAAGCAGGGGAAACCATTTCCAATGGGAAAGTGGGAAAGGAAGGGATGTTGAAGGAAGAATACAAATGTTATTTATGGAGAACTTCTTTGGTGTGTCAGCTCGGTGAAACACAAACCATACTTATTAGGATGTGAAGACTCCATGGAGACTGAGCATAAAGACCGACATATTAAGATGGCATTACGATGAGCGATTAGCTAATTTTTACTCTCATTTACCACCTAATTGGTATTCTCACCTACATATGACTGTGCAGGCAGGAAATGCCACTGGTTAGTTTAAGCTGTGTGGCTGCTTTGCTGACCACTTTTCATAGCATATGAATGTTGCAGAATATGCGAGGAGTCCTATTGTAGTGTCAGAATTAAGGTCAGTGTATCTGATAAGGATATCTAACTAATAACCCCTACAAATGGTTCATGCTCTTTTTTCTTGAGACGGAGTTTCACTCTTGTTGCCCAGGCTGGAGTGCAGTGGCACCATCTTGGCTCACTACAACCACTGCCTCCTGGGTTCAAGCGATTCTCCTCCCTCAGCCTCTTGAGTAGCTGGGATTACAGGTGCCCACTACCACATTTGGCTATTTTTTGTATTTTTAGTAGAGACGGGGTTTTGCCAAGTTGACCAGGCTGGTCTCAAGCTCCTGACCTCAGGTGGATCTGCCCACCTCAGCGTCCCAAAGTGCTGGGATTACAGATGTGAGTCACCATGCCTGGCCAAATGGTTGATGCTCTTAATTTTGTGGTAAGCATTTCTCTTTTCCTAGTAGATACATATCTAAGGACAGAGGTCCAACCTTCTATTTCTTCAATTCTTCTCAAAGCACTTAAAACAGCTGCAAACATTAAAAGGGCTCAGTCCATAACAGAATTGTATTACATGACAAAGGTACATGGAAGGCCAAGGCCTTGAAATATTATTAGGAAAACTCTGTTTGGGTTTAAAATAACAATTGGACGTTATTAAACTTAGCACCAAGTTTAGTTTGTGGACTCAAAGAATTTTAGAACAGTTAGAGGGGCCTTATAGCACATCTCTACCTTTTTTCTCTACCCCCAAGACACATACACACATTATCTCTTCTCTTCAAAAGATTCAGGCAGAAATCTACTTGAGAAGCCCTCTTTAAGTAGAGATTGTATATAGAACTTCATTAATCCATCTCAACATTCGTTCAGATGCTTACTGAATTTTATGCAAGATCAGATTAAGACTTGGAGGGAGAGCCAGAGCTGTCCTGTGCAGTATATTTGTGTGCACAGAGCCACTCAGAAAAGGTGCTGCTGGCAGAGATAAGGTGCTCCTTGCTCTGGGCAGAAATGGCCCAGCACTAAGGACAGAAGGCAGCAAAACTGAGGCTAGATTTCAGCCCTTTTTTGACCCTGACCCATGTTGGTCAGGCATTTTTGCACAGTGCAGGTGACTAACTGCTGAACCACATGAGGTGGTCCCGTTTCGGGACCCTGAGCTGAGCTCTGGAAAGATTACAGTGTATGCCTCTATATTGCCTTACTCAAACAACCTCTTTCAAGGACAGAACATATAGTTGTACTCAAAGCAGCCTCTTCATAGATAGTCTCCACTTCACTTCTTAAACTTGTGTCTTGTCTTCAGCACCGGTTCTCTCCTTGAAGGCCCTAGCCAGGGCACACATCCTCCACATCACTTAAAAGTCTCCATGCTGGCTGCTGATTTTATAACTCACTAGGCATCTAATCAATTATTGCGTTGTACTGGTACCTTTTCTCCCAAAAATCTGAGTTATCCAGCACTAGACTACGTTCCTTAAAGGCAGGGAACATCTGTTTTTTTCCACGGCGTTCAGCTTAGCATTTGCTCATAGTGGTGATTTATACATTGAATGATGTGGATTAACTATGTAGTAGCTCAAAGAGGAAGTGAAATTCATCTATGGGTCAATTTGATTTTAGGTTTTTGCTTACTTAAAGATGCTACAGGCTCAAGCAAGTTAACTCCTCACACAGGCAAGATTATTCCTGCAAGCGTCCCTTACCTTGGAGGTCTTGTCAGCAGGAAACTGAAAAACTATGTAGAATTCAAGCGGCAGACACTAGCCTGTGTTTGAGTGAGCAGTGTGGGAGGGGAAATGGAATGCTTCCTCAAGGCCTTTTGGAAACTCTGACCTTACTGTCAATGAAGCTGAACCAGGCCTCTCAGTAACTTTAAAGTTACAGTCAACGAAGCTGAACAGGTTTCATTTAAATCATGAAAATAAGGATATCAATTTTTATTTATTTTTTAACCAGAAGACAAAGCCCTGTTAGGGACTTTGACTAAAAGAGTCAACTGAAAAAAACAAGCAAACCAAAAAACCAATCCTCCTTTTCAACAAATATTTACTGGATTGGTCCCTGCTGTCAGAGTGCTCAGAGCTTTGTAGGTGAGACAGGTAAGTAAGCTGGCAGTTGTAAGTATCCACAGAAGCAGCAGAAAATGCTGGAGACACAGGACCAAACTTCACTTGGCCGTGGCAGGTTTTATCTCCTCGCATCTCCAGCCCAATTTAAGCATCAGTTATGGTCCCTGCCTGAAAACTTTTTAGTAGAAATTTCAAAGCAGTGAGACGGCCATGCTTATACCAACTAAACCTGACTTCACCTATTAGGGGACATCATTTTATTTTTATTAATTTATCTTTTTTGAGACAGAGTTTCACTCTTGTTGCCCAGGCTGGAGTGCAATGGCGTGATCTCCACTCACTGCAACCTCTGCCTCCTGGGTTCAAGTGATTCTCCTGCCTCAGCCTTCTGAGTAGCTGGGATTACAGTTGCCCACCACCATGCCTGGCTAATTTTTGTATTTTTAGTAGTGACGGGGTTTTGCCATCTTGGCCAGGCTGGTCTTGAACTCCTGGCCTTAAGTGATCCACCCGCCTCA